GATGCAGATGCGTTGTCACACGTGAGGACTAAGATGGAATGCCTCTTTGCCAGTAAAAAGGGTCTCCGGTTCTCTACACTTACCATACAAAACACAGCAGCGTTAAGCTGCTATTTTACGCTGGTTTTCTGTGAGAGCGTGGTCCTTCCCCGGGCGAGCCGACTCATTCGTACTACAACTATACTACTAATATAGCGGCAGCATGGCTCTACCACGTAAAAAAAGTTCAGTGCCTAGAAGATTGCAATGCAGTGGACGATATGAATGACAAGCTCGTGGAAACTGTCCATGCGGTCGGAGCTAAGTTCTGCAAGACCCGCCGCAGAAGAACACAAAAACTCTCCGATCACACTCTTAATCTCATGTCTGTTAAACGGGAAATTAAGCAACAGTCTTTAGTAGATTTGACAGCATAAAGGCAACTGAACAGACAGATATCCAAATGTATGCGGCGGGATTTACGCAACTTTAATACTGCTCATATTAAAGAAACGATCAAGCGGAACCAGGGCTCCAGTCTTTGCCAGAGATCTGTCTGCCAGAAAGAGCCAACTGTCAAAGCTGAAAACCGAATGTGGCAGCATCGTTTCCGGCACACCTGAGATTTCGAGTGAGATTGAGAGGTTTTATGGGCAACTGTACACATCATCGTTGGAGCCACACCCAAGTGTGAGTAACGATAGAGCAACAGAACAAGTCTTATCCGACACTATTGCAATGATATCCCGAACGTTAGTCTGAGCGAGATTAGAATGGCTCTCCAGTACTTTAAAAACGGCACGTCCCCGGGCGAGGATACTTGGTACTTGAAGTCCTTCAGAAGGTCTTTAATTCTGTCCTCCATGGTGTCACTACTCCGGAGGCGTGAAGCAGAAGTGCGGTGGTCTTGTTCTTCAAGAAAGGCGACAATGCTCTCTTGAAGAACTACAGACCGATTTGTCTCCTGAGCCGCGTCTACGTGCTGTTTTCGAGAGTCATTACAAATCGTCGCGCACGCAGACTCGACAAATTCCAGCCTCCCGAATAAGCCAGTTTCCGAAAAGGCTTTAGCACCATAGACCACATACATACCCTCGGCAAATTGTACAAAAGACCAAGGTGTACAATTTGCCACTATGTCTTGAAAAATCTGACTATGAAAAAGCCTTTGATTCCGTCGAAATTTGGGCGGTGCTGCAGTCCCTTCAGCGGTGCCAAGTTAACTGCTAGTGTATCGAAGTGCTGAAGTGTTTGTACAGTAAGGCTACGATGGCTATCCGAGTACAGAATCTGAGTACGAAACCTATCCAACTGCGAGAGGTGTAAGACAGGGTGACGTTATATCCCCGAAACTCTTCACCGATGCATTGGAAAACGTTTTCAAGCTACTGAACTGGAAATGATATGGTATTAACATCAATGGCGTGTACATCACTCACCTTCGATTTGCCGACGATATAGTCCTTATGGCAGAATCGCTGGAGAACCTAAGCACTATGCTCAATGACGTCAATAGTGCCTCCCAACGGATAGGTCTTAAGATGAACATAGTCAAAACAAAGATGTGTAATGTCCATGTCACACCTATGCCGGTTAGTTGTTGGGAGCACTAAGCTCGAAGTTGTTGACGAGTATGTTTACCTGGGACAAATAGTCCGACTAGGTAAGTCCAACTTCGACCGAGAGTTGAATCGACTGATTCAACTTACGTCACATCTTCTCGTGAGGTATACATCAAAACCTGATAACGAGATTATACAACCAATGCGTGTTGTTAGTGATGACTTATGGAACTGAGACGTGAACCTTTACTGCTGACCGTATGAGGACGCTCAAGATCGCTAAGCGAGCTATGGAGAGGGCTATGCTCGGGGTTTCTTTACGTGATAAACTTAGAAATTAGGATATCCGAAAAACCAGAGGGACCGACATAGCCCAACAGATTAGTAAGCTTGGCCGGCCATATAGCTCGAAGAACCGACAACCAATGGGGAAAAAAGGTTCTCGAGGAAAAAAAGGCAGCCTCGTATCGGTAGCCGAAGTATAGGGCGACCTCCCACTAGATGGAGTGACGACCTGGTAAGACATGCACGAAGTCGATGGATGCATATGGCTCAGGACCGTGCTTTGTGGCATTCCCTGGGGGAGGCCTATGTTCAGCAGTGGACTTGTGAAGGGCTGTAATGATGATGATGATGATGTCCCAATATGCAAATGCTAAAGCTAAAATGAAATGCCTACTCATACGCATATACGAGGCAAGGACGGTTATGTCGGACTTCTTAAGGGGGCCGGAAGTGATGGGATTCACCCCTTGTTTCTGAAGGAATGCGCAGTAGAGCTCACGATACCTTTACAGATTATTTTTAATAGATCATTATCTGAAGGTATATTTCCGAAACGTTGGAAGGATGCAATAATTATACCATTACATAAATCAGGCGATAAAAGTAATATCTGCAACTACAACCCTATTAGTATTCTTCCAGTTTTAAGTAAAGTTTTTGAATCGTTAATTTGTCCTTATTTGACTTGGCATATAAAACATATTATAGCTGATCAACAACACGGATTTTTTAAAAAACGCTCTACTACATCCAATCTTATTACATTTGTTGACAGAACACTTACTAGAATGAGCTCAGGGAATGAAGTAGATTGTATTTATAATGACTTTAGTAAAGCGTTTGACACAGTAAATCATTCAGTTCTAATCAACAAACTACACACATTATTTGGCATACATGGATGCTTATTAGATTGGTTTGCTTCATATCTCACAGATCGCACACAAAGAGTAGTCATTAGCGGTTTTATTTCTAGAGAAATTATCCCAATGTTTATTATGTTTATCGACGATATTAAGCACTGTATCCGTAACTCCGAATTTGAATTATACGCAGATGACCTAAAGATATCCAAAATTGTGAATAATAACACAGACCAAATTCAACTTCAAGAGGATATAGATAGAATTACAGAATGGTGCCGGCAAAATAAAATGTCTCTCAATACAAATAAATGCTATCACATTAAATTCTCTCGAAAATTTAACAAATATAATAGTAGTTACAATATAAATGGTGTAGATTTAGCGAAAGTAGATGAAGTGAAGGACTTAGGCATTGCTATTGACACTCAGATGCGATTTACTAACCACATTAACAATACCATACACAAATCATTAAGAATGTTAGCTTTTATTTTCAGAAACACCAAAGATTTTAAGTCGGTTTTAGCGTTAAAAGTTCTCTATTTTGCACTGGTTCGCAGTCATGTTGATTATTGTTCAGTCGTATGGTACCCGTCTTATCAAAATAATATTCAGCGTATAGAAAGAATCCAAAAAATATTTTTAAATAAAATATCTTATGTAAGTGGCGTTCATCGTTCAATTCGCAGATACTCTGAAAGATTAGCGCATTTCGAAATGTTATCATTGGAGCAGCGAAAGAATTTGCTATCTATAAGCCTTTTACATAAACTACTTAATAATAAAGTGGATTGTCCATCCCTCCTATCACAAATTAACTTGAAGGTGCCCAGAGTTTCAGCAAGGTTGTGTAATTTTAGTCCCTTTAGTGTAAATTTCAATAGCAAAAATTATGGTTACAACTCTCCTCTATGTTCTATGATGAGAAAGTACAATGATATATTCGGTAAATGTAATATAGATATCTTTAGTGATAGTCTGGGTTCCGTAAAAAAGAAAATATTTCTATACTACACTCAAACTGAAAATTAAAACTTTAAATTATACAACTTTAAATTATAAAATGTTAAGCTCTCTACCAAATTATAATTCTACCTGTATTGCATAAAATAGTCTTTGTGTTTATATCATATTTTATTATCTGTTAAATTCATAACTAATTTTAAATTTCATGTTGAAATGTTGTGCATACCTTTAAGTTAAATACATATATAGTATAATTTTGTTTATAACTGCAAATGTTTAATAATAATGTTTTGTATGTGTTTAGTTCGTAAGCCTAAATAAATAAATAAATAAATTCTTAAACTGACTAAAACCCCACGGTGTTTTAACTTCGCCGCATTTCGTGCAAGACGGGCCGGAACATTAAGCACGTCTTCCTACACGATCTCCACTACTAACTACATGGAGGCCATGGGACCAGAAACAACGCGCTTCTGCAACGCTCTACTGCCTCCGCCATAGATGGGCGACAAGGGGGAGGCGTTGGCCGTTAGTTTGGACATTGCGAAGGCCTTCGATCGGGTTTGGCACAAAGCGCTTCTTTCGAAGCCCCTTTCCTATGGGCTTCCCGAGAAATTGTGCAATTGGATCACCAGCTTCCTTGCAGATCGGAGCATCAAGGTCGTTGTAGACGGTGCATGCTCCGACTACAAGCCTATTAACGCTGATGTTCCACAAGGCTGTGTACTATCACCAACGCTGTTTCTTCTGCATATCAATGATATGTTGCTAACTGGTAACATTCATTGCTATGCAGTTGACAGCACTGGTGATGCTCTATACACCGGCCGTGCCAATATTTCTCGGGAAAACGTCGCCGAGTACCGGAACAAACTTGGGGGCGACTAAATCTAGTCCAGTTTAATCCTCAGAAGACACAAGTTCGCGCGTTTACTGCTAAAAAGAACCCCTTTGTCGTATTTCCTCAGTTTCAAGGCACTCCCCTTCTTGCCTCAGCCAGTATCGGAATCCTCGGAGTCGACATATCGAGTGACGTGCAGTTTCGTGGTCACTAGGAAGAGAAGGCCAAATTGGCCTCTAAAAAGTTTGGCGTGCTCAGCAGAGCGGGACAGTATTTCATGCCGGCACACCGCCTGCAACTTTACAAGGCGCAGGTTCGGCCTCACATGGATTACTGTTCCCATCTCTGGGCAGGGGCTCCCCAGTGCCAGCTCCTTCCACTTGATTTACTGCTTCAACGTTTTGTACATTACACATAGACAAACATCCAGATCTGGATCAATTGAACAAGACCAGTTGTGCAGTTTCGATTCAAATACTGAAACATATTAAAAATGTTTACCTCGTTGTTCCCGCAAGGCGTGGTGTCCATCCGGTACACATCTTTAGGACAGAATTCCGAATGTCCCGTGCAGTACTCGGGAAGGTCACACTCGCGTTCCGCAGAACGGCAGACCGTTCCCGCTGATTTCGGTCTACATGTCTGTAAAATAATTGAATTTATTAATAAATACTATCTAGTCCCGTCGCGTTGCTGCCGCAGGAGAAAAAATTGTGTAAATGTTATTTCTCATTTGGAAGAGTTATATTGTTTAATTAGGAATGATAATATATTCATGATCAAATTGAATGATGTTTAGCTTTGAAATAAATTTGTCGGTACGGTGCCAGCGCCACCTACTGTAAGTAAATTGTACTAAACCTTTGCGCAAGTGTTAGCAATAAGTTAACTAAGTTTTAGCGCAATCTTATGAATGTTATGGCAGCGTATAAAATACGAACAAACATTAATTTTTATATATTAGATAACCCTTAACCGTATTTTGTTTTTAAATAAGCAACCAACGTTTGAACACTAGTTTACTTGATTTTAATACGTTAGTTCCAAATTATATTTGTTTGAAACCAGTGGGAGTTCCAATCCTTTGCTGAGCGTACTAAAATAAACGTCTCAAGCATAGTACGCAACTAATAAATGCCAACAACAATAGTAAGTCTTTCTTATGTTTCGTCGATCGATAAGTGGAAGTACACTCACAAGCCTAACGCAACAAAGCCTAAATCATACTATCAAAGTGTGGTAGTACAGAGCTATGCAATATATACCGGGGTATTTCTTACTTTGATAGCGTGATTAAAGGTTCGGTGTGTTTCGGTTGTGGCGTCGTCACATCATTCAATTCTTTCCACGGTCAAACATCATCAGGTCGTCACTTCATCTACTGGAGGGTCACCGTCTCGCCGTGCTTATCAGTAAGGCTTATTCGACTCGAGAAGCGAAGTTAGTATATAATCATTATCGCTAGTAAAAAACTACAAAATTGAATGAAATCATTGTTAAGTTATTTAACAGTCATGTGTTCCCAATTGTAAAAGTCAAAGCTAACCTCGCTGTCTTTTCCATCAATGAGGGCGTCCACCAGGACGGCGTCACTTAGGAATGAGGTAAATCATTTGACACAATTGTTAGGGAAATACGAAGGTTAATGTTTATTATTATTATTAATTAAAAAATAATTAAAATTATTAACGCCAATTTCCAATAGCGGCATAACACAATTTAAGAATTGCAAAAAAAAAACCAGCAACTCACGTAATGTCAGTTTAGTCTCAGAGATAAAAAAACAGACTATAGTTTACACACGCAGATAGTAATTAACAAAATCACACTTTTACGTATCAACGTGTACTTGAAATTATTATATAAACAATAATACAAGAGCTGCAATTCGCCGTCGGTCAAGCTACCGCCAAAACAGCTCATTGTTAACTCATGGAATGGCAATTCGAATGCTGCTTAAGGACGCGTTTACAAAATTGATAGATATGGAATCGAACTATTACATTGACACGGGTCACACACACAAGTGTACGCACGGTTAGCTGCGGGAATCGCAATCAAGTATAAACATTTTGATAATTTGAAAGATTGTTTTTTTTTCATATTTCTTATAACTACAAAAATATACGTAGATACGAAATATAAATGGCTGCGCCAGTGATCCAGTGACATCTAGGCACTAGGAGCCCTCTACTGGGAGTGAGATGTTGGCTGTGGACTTTGGGCTGGTTTTGTTAGTTATGATAACTTCAGCTCCGAACTTGGTGAAGTGACTTGAAGGTATACTTGGGTGACTGCTACTGGAAGTCCGGGACGAGTAGTATCATGTGTTCGCGCCAAACGCTGTCAAGAATCGACGCCAGATGTCACTCGGCTCGGCGCGATACCGGTTGAAGTTCGGCCGAGCGTGGCAGTGGCGCGCGGGTCGCGAGTGAAAAGGCAGGAGTCGTCTGTCAGCGGTGCTTGGAACAACACGCTGTCTTTTTTGTGCGGGAACCGCGGAATAGTCAGGGCGTCTAGTAAATATCCTGTCTAGGATTTATAACGCGCATTCCTTGTTGGATAGCCTTTCCCGGGACTTATTGGGTCCGACTCAGAATCTGTATAAGTGCATTCGACAATATTAGCTAGTGCGGCCTCTGATATTCTAGAACTAACTGTTGCTACGCGAAACGGTAGTGACCTTTGATCCAGAAACTCCATGTGCGTTTTGTGCGTTAACCTTATACCCAGCGATAGTTAGTGGCTTCTGTAAGTTAATTAATCGTACTATAGAGTTAATTAACTGTCATCGTGACGAACGAGGAAAGTGACTGTGGTCCGGCGTCGAAGCAGTCTGAAGCGGTGCAGCATTTTGGAGCAGCCTGGAACTCGGCCGCGGCTGGTCGCCTATGCTTGACAAGGCCCCACACATTCACACCTCACTGTACACTACTCGCCATCCACTATTACACACACTCACGGCCTGCCCAAGCCTTGGTGCGAAGTTAGCTTCAGATAATGGTAAGTACTATGTCTTTCTAGCGCCCTCCCATATCATCATTCATCATTACAGCCCTTCACAAGTCCACTGCTGAACATAGGCCTCCCCCAAAAAATGCCACAAAGCACGGTCCTGAGCCACCTGCATCCATCGACTTCCTGCATGTCTTACCAGGTCGTCACTCCATCTCGTGGGGGGACGCCCTACACTTCGCCTACCGGTACGAGGCCGCCACTCGAGAACCTTTCTTCCCCATCGGTTGTCGGTTCTTCGAGCTATATGGCCGGCCCACTGCCACTTCAGCTTACTAATCCGTTGGGCTATGTCGGTTATTCTGGTTCTACTGCGGATATCTTCATTCATAAGTTTATCACGCAGAGAAACTCCGAGCATAGCCCTCTCCATAGCTCGCTGAGCGACCTTGAGCTTTCTCATACGGCCAGCAGTGAAGGACCACGTCTCAGTTCCGTAAGTCATCACTGGCAACACGCACTGGTTGTACAATTTGGTTTTAAGGTTTTGAGGTATGTCTGACGAGAAGATGTGTCGTAGCTTCCCGAACGCTGCCCAGCCGAGTTGAATCCGTCGATTGACCTCTCGGTCGAAGTTGCACTTACCTAGTCGGACTATTTGTCCCAGGTAAACATACTCGTCAACAACTTCGAGCTTAGTGTTCCCAACAACTACCGGCATAGGTGTGACATGGACATTAAACATGATCTTTGTTTTGTCCATGTTCATCTTAAGACCTATCCGTTGGGAAACACTATTGAGGTCATTGAGCATAGTGCTTAGGTCCTCCAGCGATTCTGCCATAAGGACTATATCGTCGGCAAATCGAAGGTGAGTGATGTACTCGCCATTGATGTTGATACCGTATCCTTTCCAGTCCAGAAGCTTGAAAACGTCTTCCAATGCAGCGGTGAAGAGTTTCGGGGATATGACATCACCCTGTCTTACACCTCTCTGCAGTTGGATAGGTTTCGTACTCTGATTCTGTACTCAGATAGCCAGCGTAGCTCTACTGTACAAGCACTTCAACACTTCGATATACCGACAGTCAACCTGACACCGCTGAAGGGACTGCAGCACCGCCCAAATTTCGACGGAATCAAAGGCTTTCTCATAGTCCACATACGCCAGACATAGTGCCAAATTGTACTCTTCGGACTTCTGTACAATTTGCCGAAGGGTATGTATGTGGTCTATGGTGCTAAAGCCCTTTCGGAAACCGGCTTGTTCGGGAGGCTGGAAGTCGTCAAGTCTGCGCGCGAGACGATTCGTAATGACTCTCGAAAACAGCACGTAGACGCGGCTCAGAAGGGAAATCGGTCTGTAGTTCTTCAAGAGAGCGTTGTCACCTTTCTTGAAGAACAAGACCACCGCACTTCTGCTCCACGCCTCCGGTGTAATGCCACCATGGAGGACGGAGTTAAAGAGCTTCTGGAGGACTTCAAGTACCGGTTTTCCACCCGCTTTCAGAAGCTCCGCTGTAATTCCATCCTCGCCTGGGGCCTTACCGTTTTTAAGGTGCTGGAGAGCCATTCTAATCTCGCTCAGACTGACATCCGGGATATCTTCGGAATAGTGTCGGATGAGACTCGCTCTTGGATCGTTACTCACACTTGCGTGTGGCTCCAACGATGACGTGTACAACTGCCCATAGAACCTCTCAATCTCACTCAAAATCTCAGGTGTCCCGGAAACGATGCTGCCACATTCTGTCTTCAACTTAGACAGTTGGCTCTTTCTGGCAGACAGATCTCTGGCAAAGACTTTGGAGCCTTGGTTCCGCTCGATCGCTTCTTCAATACGAGCTGTATTGAAGTTGCGTAAGTCCCGCCGCATGCATTTGGAGATCTGTCTGTTCAGATGCCTGTATGCTGTCAAGTCTGTTGAAGAATGTAGCTTCATCTCCCGTCTAACAGCCATGAGATTAAGAGTGTGATCGGAGAGTTTGTGTTCTTCTGCGGCGGGTCTTGCAGAACTTAGCTCCGACCGCTTGGACAGTTTCCACAAGCTTGTCATTCATATCGTCCACTTCATTGCAGTCTTCTAGGCACTGAAAACGGTTTTGTAACTCGAGCTGAAAGGTTTCGGGACTTTGGAACAAAGCACGAGGGGGACGGAGCGTTGACTTCATTAGACGAGACCTCTCCAACTTAACGTTTAGGTTCAGTGTGCCTCTAACCATTCGGTGATCGCTACCAGTTTTCACCCTCGCGATCACGGAGACATCACTGAACAGTTGTCGTCTGGTCGTCATAATGAAGTCAATCTCATTTTTTGTCGAACCGTCGGGGCTCGACCAGGTCCACTTCCTGTGGGGCCGCTTCTGGAAGAAAGAGTTCATCATAAAGAGTCCCTCTTTCTCCATGAAGTCGGCCAGCTGCTGGCCCCTTGGGTTTCGTTGCCCTATTCCAAATTTCCCTACTTTCAGCTCACCGTTCTCTCTTGTGCCTAGTTTTGCATTGAAGTCTCCCATTAACACCGTATATTGGGTTTTGGAGGAATGCATGGCTCTAGAGATATCCTCATACATTTCCTCCACCTCCTCATCGGGGTGTGCCGAGGTTGGTGCGTAAACCTGTATGACCTTCAGCGAATACCGTTTGGCGATTCTGAGTATAAGGTACGCAACCCTCGTCGACACACTCCCGATCTTTACAACGTTGTTAACGAGAGACTTGTGGACGATAAATCCGACACCTCCTTGGGACAGATGGTCGCCCTCCCGGTGATAGAGCAAGTTGCCGGATTCGAGGATTACCGTGTCCTCCCCCTCTCTTCGGACTTCGGATAATCCTATAATATGCCAGCGCAACTTGTCTATCTCTTCTTCCAGCTCCACAATCTTCTCGTCAGTCCTCAGGGTGCGTGCGTTGTACGTTGCCAGGTCGAGTCGTCTAAGGTGGCAACCGAACCTCCACCGGAGATTCTTAGCACCCCCTGCCCCGCCGTTACCATGGTCGCCACCGTAGCCAGGAATAGCGGGGCCGCCGGGGACTGGGGGCCGTTTCTTTGTTACTGTCATTCATAGGGGGGTATTTGCCATAGTTGCCACGCTTGGCGAGCGGGTTGGCAACCGCAGTTTTTTTATTGTTAGTTTGTTGTTATCAAGAAGATGCTGCTGCCCATCTCCTGCCTGTTTCCCTTTGTCGCCTTTTACGACACCCACGGGAGGATATGGGGTAGTGGATATTCTTGACCGCCACTACACGGCACTCCACTGGTTTATTGTAATTAGGAATTTCCACGTGGCCACATTCTGGCCCCGTCCCTCTGCTGCTCGTCAATGGGATTACTCATGGGCCCTAATCCCGTCAGCCTTGGTTGGGGCAGCTAGGGGCGTGTACAATCATGTGTGCCGAGTTTGGGCTCGTTTTGTTAGTTATGACGAGACCTTACCTCCTGACTTGATAGAGAGACTTGATGGTGTACTTCAGTGACTACTAGTAGAACTCCTGGATGAGTAGAACTAGGTGTGCCGAGTTTGGGCTCGTTTCGTTAGTTATGACGAAACCTTACCTCCGGACTTGATGGAGAGACCTGATGGTCTAATTTAGTGACTACTATTGGAACTCCTGGACGAGTAGAACTAGGTGTGCCGAGTTTGGGCTCGTTTTGTTAGTTATGATGAGACCTTACCTCCGGACTTGATGGAGAGACCTGATGGTGTACTTCAGTGACTACTACTAGAATTCCTGGACGAGTAGAACTAGGTGTGCCAAATTTGGGATCGATTTGTTAGTTATGAGGAAACCTTACCTCCGGACTTGATGGTGTAATTTAGTGATTACGACTGAAACTCCTGGACGAGTAGAAGTCGGTGTACCGAGTTTGGGCTCGTTTTGATAGTTATGACGAGACCTTACCTCCGGACTTGATGGACAGACCTGATGGTGTACTTCAGTGACTACTACTAGAACTCCTGGACGAGTAGAACTAGGTGTGCCAAGTTTGGGCTCGTTTTGTTAGTTACGACGAAACCTTACCTCCGCACTTGATGGAGAGACCTGATATGACCATAACTAACAAAACGAGCCCAAACTCGGCACACCTAGTTCTACTCGTCCAGGAGTTCCAGTAGTAGTCACTGAACTACACCATCAGGTCTCTTCATCAATTCCGGAGATAAGGTCTCATCATAACTACCTAAACGAGCCCAAACTCGGCACACCTAGCTCTACTCGTCCAGGAGTTTCACTAGTAGTCACTGAAGTACACCATCAGGTCTCTCCATCAATTCCGGAGGTAAGGTCTCATCATAACTAACTAAACGAGCCCAAACTCGGCACACCTAGTTCTACTCGTCCAGGAGTTCCAGAAGTAGTCATTGAAGTACACCATCAGGGCTCTCCATCAAGTGCGGAGGTAAGGTTTCGTTATAACTAACAAAACGAGCCCAAACTCGGCACACCTAGTTCTACTCGTCCAGGAGTCCCAGTAGTAGTCACTGAAGTACACCATCAGGTCTCTCATCAAGTCTAATAACTAACAAAACGAGCCCAAACTCGGCACACCTAGTTCCACTCGTCCAGGTGTTGCAGTAGCAGTCACCAACGTAAACCATCAGGTCATTCTGTCAAGTCTGGAGGTAAGGTCTCGTCATAACTAACAAAACGAGCCCAAGCTCGGCATACCTAGTTCAACTCGTCGAGGAGTTCTAGTAGCATTCACCGTATACTTTCAGATCACTCCATAAAGTCTAAGACGAATAGGATTTATATATTATAAATCCCACTTGCTTTTAGCGAAACAAAACATTATAATAAGAATTTGTGATTATAAAAATATAGTTACATTACATATGTGTATTACTTTACTTTGTCGGGTCAGTTACCACCTATTTATCAAATTCAAATATTTTGTGTTTGTACAACGATCTTTTTCAGCTACTGCAGGCGATACAGCGACCACCCGCGATGGCGACCGAGCGCCGACTGTGGTTTCATCGAAATTTTTGTGCATCAAATCAAAACAGGCACTAAAAATAAAATAACTCTTATTGCAATCCATTAGGACTCATCCGTATCAGCAAAATATGTCAAAAAAATAAGCATCAGTTTTTATTTTTTTTACGACCATTTGTGACATTTTGATAAAAAGTAAACACCAGCATTTTTTATTGAATATGTCTGCCTACTTACAGTAATTTTAGAAATCTTAATATATGTTGATAATAGAACAAAAAATGTACCGAATCATGAGCCGGTATCGTTAATTTTGTAGAAAATGGCTAGGGAAATCCTTTTTACAAGGTAAAAAACCATTATTTTCAACAAAAAAGTTACCACCATTTGAAGATAAAGAACTATTCTATACGTTGTAGTAATTAGTTATATTTGATCTGGTTTAGTTTTGTCACAAAATGTACCGAAAAAAAGCATAATTTGGCCCGATTTGCAAACGCACCTTTAAGGTCCTTACAAACCGAAACCACCTGCTTTTTTATAGATAAGGATGACAAACGAGCACACAGTCCACTTGACGGCAATTAGATGCTGGGGCTCTATGACATCTAAATTTATCCTCGATTAAGGATCAAAATGCAGATTTTTATACGTGGTAGCCATGCTGGAGCTATATTAGTAGTATAGTTGTAGCACGAATTATCGACTCGACCGTGGAAGGATAACGCTCTCACAGAATACCAGCGTAAAATAGCAGCTTAACACTGCTGTGTTTCGTATGGTGAGTGTAGAGAACCGGAGACCCTTTTTACTGGAAAAGAGGCATTCCATCTTAGTCCTCACGGGTGACAACGCATCTGCATTTTGATTTGCAAGCGAGGATAGATGTAGATTTCTATGGGCCACAGCAACCCCTTACTATCAGGTGGACTGTGTGCTCGTTTGTCACCCTATCCTATAAAAAAAAAGATGAGTTGTCATTCCTGAGGATGTCTCGTCTCAAGTAAAAAGGGTATCCGGTTCTCTACAGTGACCGTGCGAAGCACAGCAGTATGAAGGTGGAATTTTAGGCATGTATATGGTTGTTTGTGGCGACCTGGAAGTCGCAGCAGGGCCCCGCAGCGCAGCTGGCGTTGCTGCGCAGCATGCAGGCGGCGGGCTCGCAGCACGCCAGGCACGCCGCGCGCGCCTTCTCCTCGCCCAGCCCGCAGTCGCACTGCTCCCCCGGCTCCACGAACCCGTTCCCGCAAGTCGGAGACTCGAACAGCCGTTTCGGTTTGTTCCTGTCGGACATCATTTATTTAGTTATTTTATTTTATTTTATTCTTCATTGCATTCCTTGTTTCAAAAGCATTTCTTATTTAAAAAAAAGATACAAAACGCAGACCTAATGCCATGAGGTATTCTCTACCAGTCAACCAATGGAGTAGTGAGAATTTGACGTAGGTGTAGCCATATAGAGTAAAAAAATAAAATAAAAGTGATAGATGAAAATAATTACACAAAATAATGTTACAACACACACATATTATGTATACATATATTTTACAGATAAATAAACAACGTACTATATATATTAATCCAGCAATATAATTAGTATAGCAACACATATGATATGTATATTCCTATGACAAGCGTTATGTTTAATAGATGATACGAACCAACTTTTTAAAAGCATATATATATATTGCGTGCTTTTCTAATGGCATCGGGCAAAAAGTTCCAAGGACATGTAGCCTTAATTATAAAGAAGTTGTCATAGTACACAGTAAAATGGGAAGGAATACAGATTTTTATTTTAGAAGAAGAACGTAGAACTCTATCGTGAGATAATAAGAGATGAAATTAATTATTAAGAAAGCGAAATGTATCGAAACGTTTTGCTTCAATTAAGGCCAGGAGGGACAAAATATCGTATTTGACATACATTTTGACACGCGAGAATTGGAATTTTTGAACATTTTTTGAACATGTACAAAAAAATATGCGCATTAATGAATTTAAAAAATACTCTATATTAATCGAGATAATTAAAAAGCTTAAACATTTTTCGAGTTTTCGTTTTTGTATGCAATAACTATATGATTATTTTCAATAATATGAAAAGCATGTTATTGAATTAGATTCTTTATCGGCTACATTTTCATTTAGATCATTTATTTTCTGATAATAGGCAAAAACGTTTGTACATGAATGTCACACCCTTACATCATGCTGGACAAATATGTATGCAATAGAAAACCATAAATACGTATGCAGCTAAAAACTTATTAACGTCGGAAATACTAGTCTTAACTACGGTATGTAATATCACCGACACTAGAATAGTTGAATACAAACATCAACATTATAAGTAAATATAAAATATGTATTTTATATAAAATTTAAGTGACCCTTACAGTTCACCTGATAATCTGATGATCATGAGATGGATAATACGGAGACTCAAAAAAACAAGATTGGCAAAAACAAAGGATCGGCAGAGTTTTACAAATATAAATTATTCTTATATAGCACTTTATGATTTCTACACGCGGACGATGCTAACAGAATACAACGAATTTTCTTGAGCGAGAAAAGAAAAACCAGTGTTACTACCTCTTTTATATACTCTTCTCTCATATTCTACGATAAATCCACTGAAAATGTTTATCGTGGGCACCTTCAGATATTGGCAGCGTACGACGTTTACTCACAAATATGTTAATATATTTTCCTTCCCTCTGGAACGCGAAACGATTAGACGTGCTCCCAGTTGTATTTTCTTTTATTAACTCGACAAAAATGCATATTTTGATAAATTAAATTTAAATAACAAATAGTTTTCGTCAAAGTACGGAGCAGGCGAACGGGTATGAAAGAGACACCAATAGAGAAGACAAGCATAACGAATCCAGTTTCGCTACAGGGACGTCACTCCAACTACTTGCGTATATTTAAATCTCTGTGCGTATACGTCACTAGACTCGCTTGCCCTAATTCATAGGCTAACTGCAATAACTCAAAAGCAAAATTAACGTAACATGTATTACCAACCTGAGACAGTAATCCATGCCCCTCTCAAACGACAGCGCCAAGGACCTCAAGCTGCAAGATGACCAATGTATGGGCATCACGGACGTGCTGGACGGGCTCATGATGCACTTTTCGTCGGGACACTCGCAATCCTCCTCAGTGTCGTGCTCCATGCCGAAATTATGGCCCATTTCATGCGCTATCGTTGTAGCCACGAGCCCTATGACCTCTGAATGGTTGGTCGCGACACCTCCAGAGAATTCAAAAGTGCAAATCGGCCCTTTCAGAGCTTTACCAACGACACCCTCTTGGAATTTTTGGCGACTGCAAACAAAAATAGTCTTTGAAATCATGCCTTAATTATCGTTATCATTGCTGGGTTTATTGCTGGTTCTTCCCAGGACAGAGGATTTTCGAGCCGGTAGTAAAAGAAAAAATGACTTTTTAATACAGTTGCTCAAAAAGTGGCGTATTGCAGGGACGTATAGCGTTCGGGATGTGGGCTATTATATACTCAAGCTTTTTCTTTACCTTTTCCGAACTCGTGCATTCTCTTTCCCAATTGTCAAAATAATGTCTATTAAAAAGAAAAAACCAACCACGAAGTTTTCACTAAAAAAAATTCATAGAAGTTGTTATGATTCAAACAAATATTGGAGTTTTGGCGGGAACTTGATCGGCGGGGGTTTGCTGCTCCTGTATTATAGTTTAAATAATAGTTTGAAGTGGATTTTGATATGTAAAAGTGGTGCGATTTTATGTATTAACTGTCTACACATGTGAACTATTAGTGGAAACGGTGAAACAAGTGCTCTGATGGTGATGGATTCTCAAGATAAGCTGTTTGTTTGCATAGGCGCCTTTAGATACCATCGCCAACTGTCAGCTGCCTGCTGGCTCAAGTTGCCGTCAAAATCTCCCAAGGGCTGCACAATGTGATGCATCAACATATTGTGAAGTAGTGAACTATGAAAGATAATTATACATAAAGACAAGGCTGTATGGCATAGTTCTTTTGCCTGCTCTCTCGAGCGAATAATAAAAACAACAATCAAACAAATATTTCTAAAAAGAAGCTGCTAATTTTAGGTTTTTTTCATTTCACTTCATCTCATTAAATTTCATTTTCATTACATATCAATAAAAAAATTCTCCTGAAGACTTGGCTGTATGGGCATAGTTCCCTTCGCCTACCCAGAATGGGCGAAGAAAACAAAAAAATCTCTGCTTATATTCTTTTACGGTTGGCGCCATTTTCCAAAAATGTTCTTTGCGAGTTTAGTTGTTTGTAAATTGCTTCATTTTTTCGCAACTGTATTAAAAATAGTTGTTCAGTACACGTGCGGAACCGTCATTGCAACTTGTTCCGACTGTCAACCCTCACCTTCGGCTGCGCCTTTCCTCGGGTAGACATTTGTCGGAACTCTTTGCAATGACAGGCTTTTCGCACTCGTAAAGAAATATACTATTCAATAAGCATATTTGTAATCTAGAAGTATATTGAATAAAAATATTCTATTCTATTTCTTATAGTTATTAAATAAAAATTATTTAATGGTTCAATCGCGTTAGTTTTAATCGGTAATGGTTCTAATACTTACGTCAATAAATGTGCGTTATCGTTGGGTATTTCAGATAAAAGTCTCATTCTCCTGTACACAAGAAAATTCGTTAGGGTCCTATCGCCGTTCTCCTCTAATTGTATTTCGTCTCGCTCGTTCCACACCACTACGCCTACTAACGCTATGAAGATGTTCAACGGTGAGTAAACCTAAAAATTAAAACGTAATAACATTAAATAAAATTCCAACTATTGCCGCATTCAACATTCACTACACAGGCCTATGTTTCCACCATAGACTGCCTCATAGAAGGGATATTTGCCATAAGTACCACGCTTGGCAGTCTATCGTCTCTTACAATTCTCACGAAAAAATATGAAGTAGTGGATTCCCTTAAGCCGCCATCATACTATACTACACGGCCTCTAATTACACCTCTTTTCTTTTCAACTTCGGAAGACGTTATTCTTCTGTCCTACTCTAACAAATGTTTAGCAAACTACAAAAAAATGGAAGAGTGAGAACCTCTTTTTTCGTTTCGATTCGACTGTATTGTTTTTTTTTTATGTGTGTTACGCGATATCTTCGCTATACCACACAGGTGGTTTAATTAAAGAAATATTTCCATAATTTTAATTTGTGATATTGCTTAGTCCTTTAAAAGCGTCAAAAAAATTAACTTAATTAAAAACTGACTTCAAATAACTAAATAGAATAAGATTATTTCCATATAATTTAAAAGCCTGTCAATGTTTTAGCTCAGAATCTATTAAATTATGTAAAAATTATTTTATACTTTTTAATTCCTTAAAGTCTGTCAGATATATCATTCCCATTCATTTTTATAGTTTTATATAGCGTGAACGATGGTAGAAAGTCAATTTGGCTAATCCCGCAGATTTGAAACGCAACGCTATTTGTACTGTTGGTTCACACACTGTTGGCACGCACAGTGAAATATTGAAGAAATGCTTTCGTTCAGACTGATGAGCCGTGGTAACTCAGGGGATAAATATTTCATTTTGATGATTTTTTAAATTTAGTCCATAATTACATAAACTCTCTTACACAATGAAAATATTTATGTATACAGTTCTCTCACTGATCACATATAGGTCTCAATCACAGTTATCATTAACACTTCACAACTTGTAATAAGAATGATTTCTTATATTTACGCGAACACTACACATTGAATAAAACTACTTTTACGGATTTTATCGCGTTTAATAAACTTATTTTTCTTTATTAAAAACCCGCGTAAAAGAACACATAGCTGACGTCAAGCACCAAAGTTCCGGGAAGTCTGCAGTTTGTGATCATATCCTAGACGGCCCCCGCCATTACATTCGATTTGATAAACCACAAATTCTCGCGAAAGAACATCGATTCCTGCCAAGGATGATACGTGAGGCTATTGAAATTTAAAAAAAACATCCTAATTTTAATAGAGAGGGAGGCTGGGTACTACCACCTGCTTGGGATCCTGTAATTAATAAAATTAAAACTAAACCCAAGCATACCACTGCAAGACTTCAAGATACAATAAGTTCATTCTGCATAGATCGGACCAAAATTAATAATTAAAAAGCTGAAGGTACTCCGGGTTAACTCTGACATCGGGACGTCAATCACCTACCTCAGTCCCCCGTGACCATGCTTTTCGGGAATTAATAAAATAAGAAAAAAAAGTTTATTCAACGCGATAAAATCCGTAAAAGTAGTTTTATTCAATTGTAATAAGAAAGAATAAAAGGCATGTTATTCTTTATTTTTTTAGATAGCTTTCGTTGATTCTGGAATTATGCCCGGAGTAAAAACTCTGCATGAATTTCAAGGACCTTAAATAAAATACTTACGGAATTGATAATATTAGCTACGGCCTTCAGCTGTCGATGCACTGTCCGTATGTTTTCGCCATTCGCTTTATACTCGCGGTTGTCGGCCACCAGTACCAGTTCCACGTAGCGCGACAGCTTGTTGGCGTTGAACGGGCCACGCACCTCCGTGTCTTCGTACGCCTCGCGTTTGTACTGGAAAACGTTACAAATATATAATATTAAAATGATGTACACCGTGTAGTGACGGTGTACATATATACTATCCCATAAAATACATCTCGTAAAATATATACTATCCAATATCATCCCGTTAATGTCGTAAGAGGCGACAGAGGAAAACTAGAACAGAGAATGGGCAGCAGTATCTTCCGGAAAACAACTCAAAAATAATAAAAAACTGTGGTTGCCAACCCGTTTGCCAAGCGTGGCAAATAACTGGCTATATTCAGCAGTGGACTTTTATAGGCTGTAATGGAATGAAAAATTATGTAAGTTTCTCAAATATTAGTAGGTCGGCCCGACCGAGAGAGGACTACGCTCTCAAAGAATAACATCGTAAAGAGAGTTTAGAAATAGAAACAGAAACAGACCTTTTTACTGGTTTTCTTTTGTTTTAGTATTATAGGATAAGGGTGACAAAAAGTTGCTGTGCCCCATAGACATCTACATCTATCTTCGATTACGAATCAAAATGCAGATCATGAGGACTCATCTCACTCTCACTCGTGAGGACTAAGATGGAATGCCTCATTTCCAACAAAAAGGGTCACCGGTTCTCTATACTCACAATAAAAACAGCAGCATTAAGCTGCTATTTTACGCTGGTATTCTGTGAGAGCGTGGTCCTTCCCCGGTCGAGCCGACCCATTCGTGCTACAACCATAGCATAGCTGCAGCATGGCTCTACGACGTTTAAAACTAGTAACGACAATTTCTTCCACAGCACTTACCTAGAGGTGGGCTGTGTGCTCGTTTGACACACTTATTCTATAAAACCTTAATTTTTATTGAATCTAGTTGATATTGTTCTGGGACTGTACGTAGCAGCGTTACCAGTGCGAGGCTAAGGGCTGTTTTCACCAAGACGCCTTCGTAGCATAGCGTAGTGATTACGGGCAACTCTTTTTAAATATGTAGGACAGTAAAAGCGTTCTCATAAGGACTTTTGTACAAGCGTAGATTACAAAAATAAATATATAAAGCGCAAGTCCGGTCGTGCATGGAGTATTGCTGCCATATATGGGATGGTGCTGCAAAATGCCACCTAGAAGCTTTGGACTCAATGAAAAGGCGTACTAGGAGGCTTATTGGTGATCCGAATTTGGTTAACACCAATCTTACTAGCCTCGAACACAGACGCAAAGTTGCCAGTCTTTCGGTTTTCTATAGGATATGCATTTCGGAGAGTGTGCGCAGGAATTGCATAATTTAATTCCTCCCTCTCCCTTCCACCATCGGACAACCAGACGTTCGGCCAGTCTCCACACTTTCGTTGTTGACTTACCACGCATTCGAACCAAACGGTTCGCTACGTCGTTCATTATGCGTACAAAAAAGGAGTGGAAGAAGTTGCCAGCATCTGTCTTTCTATCCGATTACAGTGTGGGTGTCTTCAAGACAATAGTGAATAGGCTTTTGTTAAGTCAGTGCGCTTCACAATCTTAGGCTACATCACCACTTACCATCAGGTGGGATCATAGATAAGCGCTGGCTTGGTAAAATATAAAAAAAACGTACCCTATTAATTCTGCTGCGCTCAACGTTCCGTTTCCTGATATGTTTGTCCATGAGTTGCGGGTCGAAGTGGGTGTTGTTCGTGACGCCGCCGTCGTAGCCGCAGCGGTGGTGGGTCGTGAGGTCCGAGTGGTCATAGATGTAGTGCTGAGAGGTGATCTCACCGTCTATAAATTAAAATAGTATGCTGTAATAGATAAAAATAACTCGAAACATCTTGGAACTAAATTAATACTATGCTTTGTACCAGGAGGTATTGCAGTCAAGCACAGGTTTATTCAAAACAATACACTGGTTTAACTCGGGTGGGCAGCGTTCGGGAAATTACGACACACATTCTCGTCAAGTATACTTCAAACTTGAATACGAGATTGAACAACCAGCGCATTGCCAGTGATGACTTATGGATCTGAGACGTGGTCCTCCAATGCTGGCCGTATGAGGACGCTCAAAGTCGCTCAGCGAGCTATGGAGAGGGCTATGCTCGGGGTTTCTCTGTGTGATATACTTAGAAATGAAGATATCTGCAGTAAAACCAGAGTGACCGACGTAGCCCAACGGATTAGTAAGCTGAAGTGGCAATGGGTCGGCCATATAGCTCAAAGAACCGACAACTGATGGAGAAGAAAGGTTCTCGAGTGGCAACCTCGTACCGGGAGGCGAAGTGCAGAGCGACCTCCCACTAGATGGAGTGACGACCTGGTAAGACATGCAGGCAGTCGATGGATGCAGGTGGCTCAGGACCGTGCTTTATGACATTCCTTGGGGGAGGCCTATGTTAAAGAGTGGACTTGTGAAGGGCTGTAATGATGATGATGATTAAGTTAAAGAAATGAAACATTTTTTTATTTCGTATTAACCATTTGATTATTGTCGTGAACCATTTCTAACACGAGTCTTTTAAGCTTACTTGCAGAACAGGCATATTATTAATTGTATCAGCTTTACCAGTATTCCTTTTAGAAATTTAAAAATTCTGTAGGTATGTAAAATTCCTCCCCATGCGAGGGATAATCCTAGTGTGGGGGTAGATTATCAACAGACTAACCATGATCTTTGCAACATGTTTATTTTTAGTAATAAAAATAAACATGTTGCAAAGAATAAATGAAAAATGAATGAATGTATTTTGGCCTACTTTTATAATATGTATATATCTATACAAATAAATAAAATAGAAGTGTCTGTTTGTAATGTCAAAATAGCAGCTTTTTACTAAATGCATATTCAAGTATATTTATATACGGTATTTAAAAAAAAAACAATTTTTAAAGGACAATGTTCAAACTCGCCTAAGAACCAACATATATTTGACAATCACCAACATTCTTATCCTTAATTATGCATTAGATAACATTCATTAGATAGTAACGGACACTTCTGACTTGTGAAATCAAAATAAAAAGGACTTTTTTGATTTTGTACTTTGTACCTATTGTTTAATACTATTGTGCTGCATTTATGGCCTCCTGTGATTTGGCCAATCGCACAATAACTTCACTCACATATTTCAAAAGTTGTCATAAAGTGAAATATATTATGAAAACGTTTATATTTTAAAACATATCTCAGATTAATATATGCCACAAGGAACTGTGGTACAGTGATATCATCTATTTTCATTTAAAATAACAAGACTATTGTCATCTCATTGGCAAATCAGCATTGTGCCACGCAAGAAAAAAAAAGTCAATAACGTTGAAGTCAAAGTAGATAGACGTCGGACGTGCTATTGTTTTGATTTCGTTTGAAAAAACAAATTTCTGTAAATGTTTTAGGAATCTAAGTGCACTCTGTAGTTGTATTGTTATGCGATGAGTTTATATAAATTACGAACAACGGCTTGAACAACGGATATTGATACTCTTCTTTAGCGACCTACCTGGCTTGAATCAGGGACTTTAACCAAATGAGACTGTATATGTTGTATTTATTTGGTATGAATAAACTAAATACCTAATCACAACCTGAGTTTTATTTACCATATAAATGCTAGGCTAAGACTGAACTGCTTACATTAGCAACAACATAGTAATGTTTCATAAACATAAAACATAACCTCAAAATCTCTATGATAACTGCAAAAAAAAAGTTTTCAGAAGTGTCCGTCAGGAGTTATTGTTCTTACATACAATTATGTGTAATTTCGGACTTAAAAAGGTATTTTTTTTCACTGTTGGTTCTTAGACGAACATTGTATGAATGCAAAACAATGTCCTTTGTGTCTGTCTGTCTGTTTGTTTTTTGCGGCTAATCTCCGAAATAGCAGGAGCGATTTTGACGGGACTTTAACAGGCAGATAACTGATGTTATACGGAGTAACTTAGGTTACTTTTATTTTAGAAAAGTAATTAGGGTTCCGCGCAAGAAAATTGAAGCCCATGAAATCTAAGCTAATAAATTCCACGTGGACGAAGTTGCGGGGATCAGAATGTAATATAATATATTTGTTGATCACAGCAACACTGGCTTGTTCAGTGCGAGATCCGAACCCGCGGCTTCGCAGCCAAATGCTTACCCGCAGCGAGCTATCAAGTCGATTTTAGCACATTTTTTTTATAGAATAAGGGTGATAAACGAGCACACAGTCCACCTGATGGTAATTGGTTGCTGAGGCCCATAGACATCTACATCTCTCCTCGTTTGCGAATCAAAATGCAGATGCGTTGTCAGCCTTGAGGACTAAGATGGAATGCCTCGTTTCTAGTAAAAGGGGTCTCCGGTTCTCTACACTCACCATACGAAACACAGCAGCGTTAAGTTGCTATTTTACGGCACATTTTTAGCACATAATGTTAGTATGCAAATAACTTTATTTATTTAAACAAATTCATAGCTTGAGTTTATCACTAATTTCTGCACACAGAATTATCCTTCTAAAGATTTTAATTCAAGCTGAAACCTTTATAAACTCTGAGAAATTTACTACAAATACTATGTGAATGCTAAAACACGAGACCAACCTTTAGCAGGCTCTATATACCACATTTTCTTGCCGTTGTACACGACACCTTGGAACCCGTGACATGTTGAGATGGCCACCCACGAGTCCGGTCGGCCCCGGATCTTGCCAGAATACTGACATAAGTCTAATTCCTGGAATGAAAATACGTATTATCATAATAATCATAAAAATCTCTGATCTGCCTCGTCTTTCAACCAATATTATTACATGTGACTTGTTCACCGCAATCAATATTTCGTGAAGATATGAAAAATAATCTACATTTCTTTTCAAAAATTTCACGTAGAAGACCATAGATAATACATTCCAAGCAATTATTTTTTGCGGGAGTATTTGATCGAAAAAAAATGAGACTGAAAATTAAAATACTTTAAAAAATAAGTCAAAACAATTTGTGTTTGTGTCTCTTTATTTGAACTATTTTTTATTTATTTATTCTTTTTTACATCTACCTTATAATAAGGGATATAAAGGGCGGACTTAATGCCTTGTGGCATTCTCTACTAGTCAACCCAGAACAATATACAAGACGAGACGATTTCATTATACGTTACGTAGTTGCTTTTCATGCAAACATAACACGAATCATTTTTTTATAGGATAGGATGACAAACGAGCACACAGTCCACCTGATGGTAAGTGGTTGCTGTGGCCCATAGACATATACATTTATCCTCGTTTGCGAATCAAAATGCAGATGCGTTGTCACCCGTGAGGGCTAAGATGGAATGCCTCGTTTCCAGTAAGTCTCCGGTCCCCGGTTCTCTACACTCACCATACGAAACACAGCAGCGTTAAAATATAACATATAAAACAAAATAGATCGTTCGAGCCGGATAAACTATATCAAAACTATAGTACTGGATGCTGTAGCCCATAGACAAATATAGCCATCCACGATAAATTGTTAAAATGTAGTTTGGTTGTCACTGTTTACTAAAATATAATACTTTGTTTCCAGTAAAAAGGGTCTCCGGTTCTCTACACTCACCATACGAAACAGAGAAGCGTTAAATTATAACATATAAAACAAAATAGATCCTTCGAGCCGGATAAACTATATCAATACTATAGTACTGGATACTGTAGCCCATAGACAAATATAGCCATCCACGATAAATTGTTAAAATGTAGTTTGGTTGTCACTGTTTCCTAAAATAGAATACTTTGTTTCCAGTAAAAAGGGTCTCCGGTTGTCTACACTCACCATACGAAACACAGTAGCGTTAAAATATAACATATAAAACAAAATAGATCCTTCGAGCCGGATAAACTATATCAAAACTATAGTACTGGATACTGTAGCCCATAGACAAATATAGCCATCCACGATAAATTGTTAAAATGTAGTTTGGTTGTCACTGTTTCCTAAAATAGAATACTTTGTTTCCAGTAAAAAGGGTCTCCGGTTGTCTACACTCACCATACGAAACACATCAGCATTAAAATATAACATATAAAACAAAATAGATCCTTCGAGCCGGATAAACTATATCAAAACTATAGTACTGGATGCTGTAGCCCATAGACAAATATAGCCATCCACGATAAATTGTTAAAATGTAGTTTGGTTGTCACTGTTTACTAAAATATAATACTTTGTTTCCAGTAAAAAGGGCCTCCGGTTCTCTACACTCACCATACGAAATAGAGAAGCGTTAAATTATAACATATAAAACAAAATAGATCCTTCGAGCCGGATAAACTATATCAAAACTATAGTACTGGATGCTGTAGCCCATAGACAAATAAAGCCATTCACGATAAATTGTTAAAATGTAGTTTGGTTGTCACTGTTTACTAAAATAGAATACTTTGTTTCCAGTAAAAAGGGTCTCCGGTTCTACATTCACCATACGAAACACAGCAGCATTAAAGCGTTAATCTGTGAGAGTTTGGACCTTCTCAGGGCCAGCTGTCATTAGTATTGTAGCCAAAAATATCATTTACTCAAACAACAAGGATGTTCTCACCTCTTTTTTGGGTTTGTGTAACACAGTCTCCCCATTCTTCTGGTAGCTGAGAATGTGGTTGTCGGACACTAGGTCCTCTTTCAGTCTTAAATCCAGCACGTGCTCTTCGCCTTCTATGTCAACCTTCACCGTCACCTCTGGATGATGTGCGCCTGTCTGAAAACCAAAAGTAATTTAATTAGCCTTAATAATTACTTACACTTCCAAACAATACAATTTGCTCAACAAGTGTTCGAAAGAGTGAACGTATTATTTAAAATTTATCTTGGATTTTTTTTTTATAGGATAAGGGTGACAAAATTAAAATACTTTAAAAAATAAGTCAAAACAATTTGTGTTTGTGTCTCTTTATTTGAACTATTTTTTATTTATTTATTCTTTTTTACATCTACCTTATAATAAGGGATATAAAGGGCGGACTTAATGCCTTGTGGCATTCTCTACTAGTCAACCCAGAACAATATACAAGACGAGACGATTTCATTATACGTTACGTAGTTGCTTTTCATGCAAACATAACACGAATCATTTTTTTATAGGATAGGATGACAAACGAGCACACAGTCCAGCTGATGGTAAGTGGTTGCTGCGGCCCATAGACATCTACATCTATCCTCGTTTGCGAATCAAAATGCAGATGCTTTGCCACCCGTGAGGACTAAGAAGGAATGCCTCATTTCCAGTAAAAAGGGCCTCCGGCCACCTGCACTCGCCAAGCGAAACGCAGAGGTAAACCTCTACTTCACGCTGGTATTCTGTGAGGTCGTGGTACCACCCCGGTTCGAGCCGGCCCATTCGTGCGACAGCAAAAGCTGCCGCGTGGCTCTACCACTGTGGAAATGGTTTTGTGATAATGGAACATTTTCTCATCAATGTGAAACATAAATTGAAAAACAATATACATCATCTCAACGTTCATTTTTAGGTCGTATTTTCTCTTGATGTACAAACTTGACAGATCTTGGTGTTTATTACCATGTATTTAGGGGTAGAATAGATCTGGGGTATTTTCATATGTTTGGACTTTTGGAATATTATCGGAAGTTGTCTTGCATTGAATACATTATAGTATAACGACTCGCTAGCGCAGTGGATGACCGGCTGGCTGCAGTCGTTTCTTGTTCATTCCATTGCTTACAGACTATAAAAGTTCACTGCTGAACACAGGCCTCCTTAGGTTTTTGCCATAGTTGACAAGCCTGGCGAGTGGTAGTCAGAACCGAAACAACAAACCGTAGGCTATTATAGTTCTGTACAAGAAACGACTGTGTGCCTTCTAGTGGCGGTGTAAGAATATCCAATACCCCATATCGTCCCGTGCTTATCGTAAAAAGCGACAAAGGGAAATGGAACAGGAGATGAGCAGCACCATCATTCTGATAACAGTTCAAAATTATCAAAATTTCGGTTGCCAATATGCCTGCTGAGTGTAGCAACTATGGCAAATATCTTCCCTACGAGCAATGATATATAGCGCGTTAACTTCAGAACTTTGATAGCGCGATTTAGGCTTCGGTGCGTTTTAAGGCACGACAACAGCGCTGATTTTATAGCAATGGGAAGATTAAGAGTAATTATTTTTTGCCTTTTTTCTTCCTGGATTTTAAATTCAGGACCGTGCCGTGGATGACAATTACTATGATTAAGTTACGCAGTCTCCTTGAACCAGTTATACAATAAAGGTCGTTATATCCGTTTTAACGGTCCGAAGGAGGCAGCATTTTATGGTCGGAAGTGGATATCCTTTCGCGGATTTCAAGCGTTATGAACAGCGGATTAATATTTTTTATATATACATTCTGTGTACTAAATATCGGGAATTTGTCAATAAAACAAAAAATACAAATTATTCATCTAAATTTATTTTATCGCCTTCAAAGTAGGCACCATCGATTGCAATACAACATCTTCAACGCTTCACCCAGTCTTCCATACATTTTTCATAGGCTATTTGAGGTATGGCCTTTAGCTCATTCAGCGAATTTTTTTTAATGGCTTCTATCGACTCAAAACGTTTTCCTCGAAGTGGTAATTTTAACTTGGGAAATAAAAAAAGTCAGACGGAGCCATATCAGGTGAATACGGTGCTTGGTCGAGAACTTTTGTTGAATTTTTCGCTAAAAACTCTTTCACTATAATGGCTGTGTGTGATGGTGCATTATCATGGTGCAGCATCCATGAGTTGTGTTGCCACAAATCTGGACGTTTTCGGCGGATACTCTCACGCAAACACTTCATGACGCCTAAATAATATTCTTTATTCACTGTTTCTCCTTTTGGAAGGAATTCGGAGTGAACCACACCACGGTAGTCAAAAAAAACTGTCAGCATCACCTTGATTTTGGAGCGACTTTGCCGCGGTTTTTTGGGTTTCGGCTCGTTTTCGAGACGCCATTCTGAAAACTGTTGGCTTGTTTGCATGTCGTACTCATAAACCCATGTCTCGTCGCCAGTTATTATACGTTTCATAAAGGTCGGATCCGTAGAAGCTCGGGAAACCATGTCTTCAGCGACATGATTTCGCTGCGCTCTTTGAACAAAATTGAGCTCTTTTGGAACTAGTCGAGCGGCGACGCGTTTCATGCCTAAAATGTCAATGAGAATGTTGTGGACGGACTTAAAAGATATGTTCACCTCACTAGCCAACTCTCTCAGACTCATACGTCGATTTCGATTTTTTTTCGATTTCGAGCACTAGCTTCTTGATTTTGTCGATGTTTTCTTTGGTCGTAGCGGTTGAAGGTCTACCAGAACGAGGCAAGTCTACTACTACTTCTCGGCCTTCTTTAAAAGCCTTATACCATTCATAAGCCCTTGTTTTCGATATACACGATTCGCCGTAGGTATTTCGCAACATTTTTAGTGATTCATCACATGAAATATCATTCGAAACACAAAATTTAAGGCACACTCTTTGTTCAACAATATTTTCCATTGTAAAAATCGCCGAGAACTCAAAACTATGACCAACAAAAAGTGTAGTTTAAAACAAATTAAATGACAGATCCCGCTCAAACTTTGCGCGCTAAATTGTAAAAATCGCCGAGAACTCAAAACTATGACCAACAAAAAGTGTAGTTTAAAACAAATTAAATGACAGATCCCGCTCAAACTTTGCGAGTTAAATCAGTATAGTGCTACCAACATGCAGTAAAAAAATTAGAACGACCTCTTTTACGCGGGTCTTTTTATTGACATATTCCTGATACTTTTTACACAGAGTTGTATTAATTCGAACGCGAAGTGGAGAGGTTGGGCTTTATTTATATTATTTATTCAGGACTAGCAATATTATCACCTGGATTGGATCCACGAATACGGCGTCATGTAGATTTAAGACTAACATCTTATGGTGAAATACTAAAACGCTACACAATTTTAAGATGTCGTCTAACTAAACCCACCACATACCACTGCAAGACTTCAAGACACAGTAAGCTCATTCTGCGTAGATCGGACCAAAATTAATAATTAAAAAAGCTGAAGGTACTTCGGGTTAACTCTGACATCGGGACGTCAAACACCTCAGTCCCCCGTGACCATGGGTTCTGGAAAGCACCCGAAACGTCGGGAATTAATAAAAATAAGAAAAATAAGTTAATTAAACGCGATAAAATCCGTAAAAGTAGTTTTATTCAATGTCGTTAAGTCTCGTGGTGTCACAGTCACGTTGACTTAAGGAGCATTAGATCAGTTATTTTATTAATTTTTCGATTTCATAAAAATCTAAGTTTTTCGGATAAAATAAAAGCTAAATCACGCCTCTCCATGTGTTCGTAAAGTTTAATCATTCCCATTGTGAAGATTAGCCCGGACAGACAGACAGACATAACTTTAGGAAATGGATATTCATTTCGTAATGGCAAATGACGCCCTGAGCTCAATAAAGGACAGTTATTTCGACATTACAGACGGAAATTTCAATTTTATTTACGCGTATATGTATAGATATAGCTTACTAACAAGGTAAGACACAACAAAGACATGTTATACACAAATGCAATAGAAAAAAGGTATGTGTCACCTTACAAGGCAATCACGGAAAGCTAGATACAATCGCGAAGTCTTAATAAAAATTTACAAACTATTATTAATTTTAAAGAACGATGATAAAACACATACAGCGGCGATTACGAATAATGATTGATGATATATGTATGTACATAAGGCATATGTTGCCTATACCTATATATTTTAGACACGAATGTCGTTCAAATAAGTTTATATAATAACTTAAATTTAAAAAACCCCTGAAACAAAAAGAACTGATGATCTTGAAACGGCTGAACAGATTTTTTTGAGACATAGCTAAGAACACACCCAATTTTCGGTTCATCCGTTCAAGAACTATGATGCCACAGACAGACACAGATATACAGATACACATATGTATACACACTACAAACATAAAACATATAACACCTCTCTGATTTCATCGAGGGTTTTTTTATAGGATCAGATGACAAACGAGCACACAGTCCACCTGATGGTAAGTGGTTGCTGTGGCCCAAAGACATCTACATCTATCCTCGTTCGCGAATCAAAATGCAGATGCGTTGTCACCCGTGAGGACTAAGATGGAATGCCTGGACTGGTAAAGTCCAATAAAAATTGTCTCCAGTTCTCTACACTCACTATATTAAACACAGCAGTGTTAAGCTGTTATTTTACGCTGGTATTCTGTGAGAGCGTGGTCCTTCCCCGGTCGAGCCGACCCATTCGTGCTACAACTATACTACGAGTACTAATATAGCAGCAGCAACTCTACCGCGTTGAAAAACTGATTTATGGCGTTGGGTTAAAACTGATTTATGGCGTTGGGTTAAAAATGATTGATGGCTTTGCAATCCTTGGGATGAGAATTAATGAATTATTAGTGTGAAAAGCATTTTTCTTTATATCATTATACCTAAGTAAAGTAACGTTAAGTTACAGCTTACACCTGGGCTCAACTTAGTTCTGATAGGGTTTAAGGGCAAGGATGTGTCCACCGCTCTGCCCCAATGCGTTTTGGCGGTCTATATAAAATATTTATTTCTCAGACATGTAGGTTTCCACTGCTACCGAGTACGTGGTAAGTCAGCAATAAGCTTAAAATTGCAATTAACAATTTCATTGGTGCCGGCGGGGATAGAACCCGCGTTGCTAGCGTACCGTAAATTTTAATTTTGATTTGTGAAATTGCTACCACGTCTCTATTACATCATTGTATTCCAAAGTCCGTAAAAAGCAAGCAAGATCTGGTAAGTGAGGCTGTGATACATACTGCAGTAAAAGTGTAGGTAATAACAAATATTGTTGCGGTTAAGCATGAAACTAGAATTACTTATAAAGTTTCTGATGTTTGGTAGAGAACTCTTCCAGTCTTCAATATCTGAAGTAGTTAATTGTTAGTTTAAACTATTTGTGAATTAATATAACATACTTTATCTGTTAACAAAAATGTACTGCTGAACATAATTCTCGCCTAAAGTTACAGCCAAAATACGTCTCACATGTGGCCTCTTTTCATACCTATATAAAAAAAAAAAAAAATATATATATATATAAAAAAGTCCGGTAATGGGTAGCAGTGTTACCAGATAGAGGGTAACGGCTTTGCGTTCACTAATCCGCCCGCCCAGCGTGATACAGATCTTTCGCGCGTCTTCTTATAAAGACCCTACCGTATCCTATATATATACTCTAATAGTAAATTCTTAAAGCTAATTTTAAAAAAAGAATAGAACCGGGAAGGGTTCATCACGCTGCTCAAGGGCAATTAGATCAACTCCCATGTCATTTAAACATTTTTTCTCAGACGATCAAATTTCCTCACAATGCCAATGAATCACTAATTAAAATTGCAATTAATAATTTCATTAGCGTCGTGACCGTGAATAATGTTCGGTTTGCAGCGTACTGAGTTTTTTTTTATAGGATCGAGAGACAAACGAGCACAAAGTCCACCTGATGGTAAGTGCTTGCTGTGGCCCATAGTTTGTGAATCAAAATGCAGATGTATTGTCAGCCGTGAGGACTAAGATAGAAAGCCTCTTTTCCAGTAAAAAGAGTCTCCGGTTCTCTACACTCACCATACGAAACACAGCAGCATTAAGCTGTTATTTTACGCTGGTATTCTGTGAGAGCGTGGGCCTTCCCCGGTCGTAATATAGCTGCAGCATGGCTCTACCACGTATAACACTATAAAAGTATTAAAGTTAAGTAAGTATAAAATTTAAAACGGACCTCTGTGCTTATAGATAACTATTATAAATTGATAACGAAAAACTAATTTTTCGTTATCAATTTATAATAGTTCGCTACTGTATGTAGACTTCTCACTGTTGGGCTGAATTGCCGTAATCACCATGCTTGCTGAAGTGTTAGCGATGTTTGTATAATTGCCATAAGCCCAGAATCGGAATAACCTAAAGGCAAAGTAAGCATTTATAGCTAATGGACCCTCATCACTTAATTGCACCAGGGCCTGAGAAAAATTTGATTTATGTGATTTAAGAGGTTTGGAAAAAGAGCTGGCGCCCCTTAACTTGCATTAATATAAACACAAGCTAGTGATGCCAGTTTCTCGACTCCACAGAGTCAGTAATTCATTCTTGGGGCAATGTATACGCTATTACAACAAGGTCCCGGAAAGTGTACCAGGCTCTTTCTCAGGCTCTCTCTATCACCAAGTTTGAATGTTTTGTTAAGTTGAAACTGTATAAAAAGGGTTCTTATAGTATAAATGAATACATGGTTGATAATAACCCCTGGGAATGAGGTGATCGCTTCCAAGCAGTTTCTAAAATAAATTTTGTAAATAGTTCGTAATCATTTATATTGTAAAATTTATTTAAAAAAAAGTCCCGCTGGGTTTCTTGCTGGTTCTTCCCAGGACAGAGGTTTTTTTTTTCGAACCAGTGGTAAAGTAAAAAATGACCTTCAATAAGAATTACACATGTAATGTATATTGAATAAAAAATTATTCCATTCTATTCTATTGCCTAGGGACCTCTACATGGATTGCTTCAAACCTGTAATCTTCTTCAGCTATTCATTCATTCATATTTCATTACATCCCATGAAAAGTTCATTGCTGAACATAGACCTTCACCACAGATTGCCTTCTAGGGGCTTGAACCATAGTTGCCACACTTGACAGGCGGGTTCGAAACCACAGTTTTTATTATTTTCGGTTGTTATCAGGAAGATGCTGTTACCCCTTCTCTGTTTTAGTTTCCCTCTGTCGCCTCTTACGACACCCACGATAAGAAAAAGTAGATATTTTACACCGTCACTTCACAGCGAAGTTTTTAATAATCATCTATTTTGTAAACAGACGAAAACAATAAAAATTGAAACGAATCTAGATACATCATAATAGCTTGTGTAACATACGTAACGTCAAGAATACCTAATAATTAGTAAAGGTCAAAATCTCAATAAGTATTAATTACGTTCGACTCTAATTGGGCGTGTTCGCACAGATCGTTTTGCAAACAATTAAAAGAGCTCCCAACACGCTAAGAGCACTAAAAGTCCGTGATCTAGGCCGCGCTTTTTGCAAGGTGTGAGTGTGAGCAGTAATGTTTTCTATTAAACTTTATTTATGACTGCGTGGCGCAGTGGCACATGAGTAAATTATCAACTCATGTGGAGTTGCAGCGCTAATGGCCGCGGGCTCGAATCCCGCACAAGTATTTCAATGGCCTACAAATAATTGTTCCGGTTCTGGATGTTTGTCCTTGTGAAATTTATGTATGAAAACTGCCCCCAGGATACGGGAGAAAATAGTAGTGTGCAGGTAACGTTTTTTTTTAAAAAAAAGAAGGGTCCGATATTTGAACCCGCGGTCCTCAGTACCGCAACTTTTAGCTAAATCACTGCACCAAGGAGACGTCAAAAGAACTTATGAAGGTTGGTAGAAGATTAAAGAGAGACCTGATTATTGATATTGACTTTGGATCTATCCGGATACTTTGGTATTAATGTAAAAATAGTATCTCAGATAAACCTTACAGTGGTTGTGTCCCAACGTTGTCAGAACAAGAGAAGGGGTCTATATAAGTATGACCTAGATTGCTTGGCCCAGTAAATCGATAGGTTGTATAGGTTCGACCACATGTATCATAAAATGTGATTTCAGAACCGGTGACCGAGCGACTGGTCCGGCAGCTTGCGGTTTATTAACGATCAATTGGATGTATTTAGCGCGAAGGCAAAGCGAAACTATCATCAATTTCAATAAAGTGTTTGAAACACGTGATATAAGCTCCTAGAACTAGCAGTTATTTTTTTAAAGAACCACTCCGAGCAGGGTTTAAAATATACTAGCGATCCGCCCCGGCTTCGGACGGGTGATTCAGGATCTCGACAACAGCGCTACCAAATGTAAATCTAAACTATCTAGGGACCTATTCGAACACAAAAAATGTCATCGAAATCGGTCGAGCCATTTTTGCGCTTTAGCGAGACTAACAGACAGCAAGTGATTTTTATATATAGAAAATGTTTCAGAAAGAAGTCCCGTGGAAATATGACAACTAAAATGTAATGTATGGATCTATTCTTAACGACAACAGATCTTTTAGATTGCAGTGATTCTGGTCTCTCTAAACCTGCATAGCTGCTCGTACAAAAAAAATGGAATTTGACAGCAAATGTAAAATTTTGCGAAGACTGTGGCGCCGCGCCTAAGGGACATTTTTATAGGAGAGAGGGCAATCGAGCATACGGCTCACCTGATGGTAAGTGACTACCGCCGCCCATAAACAACTGCAACACCAGGGGTATTGTTGGTGCGTTGCCGGCCTTTTAGAAAGCAGTAAGCTCTTTCCTACCGACTTAAAGGAGGAGGTACTTAATTCGACTGTATGTTTTTTTATGTGTGTTACCTGATAACATTTTTCTAGATGAACCGATATAGATGATTCTTTTTTTGTTTGAAAAATGGTGCTCATGTGGTTGATCAAGGTCTGACCAATAGTTTTCGAGTTATCTATACAATAAATAAATAAAATTGAAGTGTCTGTTTGTAATGTCAAAATTGTAATTTTTTACTAAATGCATATGAAAGTAAATACGGTACTTATAACTAAAATACAATTTTTAAAATTTTTTTCTGTCTGTCGGTCTGTTTGTTCCGCCTAATCTCCGAAACGGCAGAACCGATTTTGACGGGACTTTCACTGGTAGATAGCTGATTTCATAAGGAGTAACTTAAGCTACTTTTATTTTAGAAAAAGAATTAGGGTTCCGCGCAAAAACACAAAAACCCTAACACGCGGGCGAAGTCGCGGGGAAGAGCTAGTCCTTAATAATTTATCTTGAAGTCACAACATTTTTATTTTCCCACTTGTCTTTATTTAGAAGGATTATTTTTAAAGCATAGTTTAAACACGAGACTACCCATAAACAATCTTCTGTAATAGGGTTGTGTAAGCTTCTAGAACCATAGTTATTTTTAAAGAATATTAGCGAGCCTATGAATCTAAATGACATAGTGAGAAATTGTGTGATAAGAGAAGAGTGTGATTTGCAAGATGACGTTGTGACCAGGATTAAGAAAGGAATGCTTCGGTGGTTTGGTCATGTAGAAATAATGAATGAGGAAAGAGTGACAAAGCAAATTTATGTTGCAGAGGTGAACGGCAGATTCGGGAAGGGACGCCCTAGGCGAAAGTTTATCGACCAAATTGGCGATATATTGAAAATGGGCCAAATCAAGAGTACCTTTAACCGACAAGCGTGTATGCGTAGGTAAACGGATGTGGAGGAAGCGAGAGAGGTGTGTCAGGATCGTGCCAAATGGAAGTCCATAGTCTCTGCCTAACCCTCTGGGTGACAGGCGTGAGTGTTTATGTTTTATGTATATATTAGCGAGCCTCTTACCAATGCCAATAACTACTCCAAGCAAGCTTGAAAATATGGTTCTTCATGAGGTTGTTTACGACAATAATCTTCGATCTTACAACTTTTTACGTTTCGCTATCCGTCGATATTTGATGTTCTCATTACACCTTACGTTCAGTATTGGATTTTAAAAGGGCTGTCATGATGGCGATGATGATGATCATGTTATTTAATTACTCACCGAATCTCTCGTGGAGGAAATTTCTCGTTTCGTCCGCCCATGATGCACCACCGGTTGCACTAATCTATGTTTACTGAATTCTGGAGCAGGACGCCCTGAAACAAAAAAGAAATACATTAGCGACTTTAATCGATTAGATCGATTAGAATAAAATATTTTTTATTTAATATAACATAAATAGATAATAGTTATAAAAGTTATTATTTATTTGCCAATGTTTCCTAAGAAACCTTTCGATCTTGAGAGGAACTAGCAAAAAACCTACCGGGATAATAACTTACAAATATATTGTAAAAGTAGCTGTTCCCCGCGACTTCGCCCGCGTGAAATTTGTTACGATTGGATTACATGGGTTTAAATTTTTTAGCGCGGAACCCTAATTATTTTTCTAAAATAAAAGTAGCCTAAGTTACTCCTTATAAAATTAGCTATCTGTTAGTGAAAGTCCCGTCAAAATCGGTCCAGCCGTTTCGGAGATTAGCCGGAATAAACAGACAGACTGACAAAAATTTAAAAATATTGTTTTTTTTTTATAAGTACCGTTTATACTTTCATGTGCATTTAGTAAAAAAACTGTTATTTTGAGATTAAACACAGACACTTCAATTTTATATATTTGTATGGATTAAGTATTTCTGTAATATTTTAGTTCAATCATTTATTGTGTGTTTATTGTCTTATATAAGTGTAGGCTTCCACTGGCGGTCTAGCGTCGTTAAGGCCTTAACAGTCGTTGAAATGCCTAAATCTTGGATATTTAAGTTAAAAAATCTCAATAACTGTTCATTTAATCCACAAAGAAAAAATACAGGGTAACATAAGAGGATTTGGTAAATATTTTTAATTTAACAAAATTGTATTTTTGTCAACCCCTTGTTAGAAAAAAAATCCCCAAAGAGTACCTATCTTTGTCATATTTTGCAAAATTTCTCCAAAACGGCACAAGCTTTTTAAATAGTTCTTACACTAAAAAAAAGGTCTTAAAAATATTAATATTTTTAATTGAGAGTTTTATTTTTATTCCCCGTTTTATAAGAGTATATATCATTTTTACCTGAAATTGAATATATTTACGCGAGCGCGCATGCTCCGTCGCATGTAAGCTCTGTCACACAAAGAGAATATAATCACTACGTTCTGTCACAGTCCGTTTTCGGACATCGTCGAGGGTGGACCGCACGTCGGTGTTGGAGCGACTTCGTTCAAATATATATTAGTTTTTTAAAAGTTTATACTCAATTATATATATTTTTATGACTAGAAATACTTAATTTAGTTAATACCTGTACACTGGTAACTGTAAATATTATTTTCTAAATAAATGAATTTTTAAAGTGCCCAAAGAAGAAGAAATTTTCGCGGAGACGTTGATTAGTGAAACTGAAAAATGCATTTTTATATAATTTAGATGTGGAACGACGAACATGCTCTCGTTACTTAGATTTCGATAGTTTTTAATACCTATGTAATTTTATTGTTGCATATTTTTATTAATTAGTTGATACTGAATTTTATAATTATGTATTACAATAAAACGCTGTTTTTATGAGTATGACTTTATAAAATATTATTGGGGAGGGAAATAAAGATACAGATACTTACATTTAGGTACACTGTTATCAAATTAAATCAAACAATTTAAATAAATAAAAGAATGGTGCTTACCTAAGTATAAATAACTATATAAAGACATTCTTGGGTTTATGGTTTTTTTTTATGTTAGACAAACTATCATCTAAAAAATCTAAAAATTTTAAATTGGACAGGGGTTTCTCTACGTGATAAAGTTAGAAATGAAGATATTTGCATTAGAACCAGATTAACTGACATAGCCCAACGGAATATTACAGTGAAATGGCAATGGACTGGCTATATAACTTGGAATGTGCGCGCGCACCCACGCACGCACGCACGCACACACACACACACACAAATAGGTCGCAAATAATACTTACCTAGTACTATTAGGCAAAAGTGAATAAGTTTTTGTTAAGTCAGTGCAATTCACCATCTTAGACTACATAACCACTTACCGATGGGATTGTAGTTGCTTTACTACTTGCTGGGTAAAAATTGTAAAAAAAAAATTTACCCTGTGTAAGTTTGCATTTAGATATAATTTTTCTAACCAACCATAAAAATATAATGAGAATATGTATATAAGTATAAAGGTTTCCTCACACGGAACAGTAATAATATAATATTATATCTTCCATTATCTACGCATGAAAATTTTTAAAATCTCTGAATTCCGAGGTATGTTCATATTAAGAGGCTGAATAGAGCCACATTGCAATGCATCGTTTTGTAATTTCACGTCATTATCGAAAAAAAATTGTACGTATTTCAGGTGGCAGTTTTCAAAACACGATTCCACAAAAATTAACTCAAAAGAAAATAATTGCAAAGTTGCTTCTAAAAATACTTAATTTATCAACGTCAATATTTTCTTACGTAGTAGAGCCATGCTGCAGCTATATTGGTAGTACGTATAGTTGTAGCACGAATGGGTCGGCTCGACCGGGGAAGGGCCACGCTCTCACGGAATAACATGTAAAATAGCAGTTTAACCCTGCTGTGTTTCGTATGGTGAGTGTAGAGAACCGGAGAACCTTTTTACTGGAAACGAGGCATTACATCTTAGTCCTCACGGGTGATAACGCATCTACATTTTGATACGTAATCGAGAATAGATGTAGATGTGTATGGGCCGCAGCAACCACTTACCATCAGGTGGACTGTGTGCTCGTTTGTCACCCTTATTCTATTAAAAAAAAAACTTTCTGAGATTGCAGTAAAATAATGTTAAGCACTCGTACAATTATGTCTCATGTTAATAAAGCTATTGGGCTATTTTGATTTGTAATAAAGTGATTTTACTTTATAGGTTAAATAATTTATTTACCTTTCTATATCAAGAACCGTTGTTTTCTGTCACTCCTATTGAATTTGACAGTGTTTGCTGAAATTTAGCATATTTAGATGGATCAGAATCGCGCGCTGATCCGGCTGTTCGATATTGCAAAAAATAATCGAAAATATTTATTTTTACTTTCATGCCGAAGACTACCTTGTTTTATTTTATTACGGTCAAATAATATTTATTAGGTTATAAAGCAAGTGTTTTTGTAAATGTTGTGTATGTAAATGTAAATGTTTTCATTATTTTGTTATTCTATTGCTTACAGTTATTATCACGTCTTCGCTTTACACCAAAAATTACATTAGAAATTCTTGATGGGATGCGATGTAACGCGCATACATTATTAAGTGGCGAAGCTTGCGAAGTCACTTATTGATTTCACGATGTCTGTCCGTCTGTCCCACGATTATCTCGAGAACGGTTTTGAATTTTCAAATTCTGTTTTCAGCAATCGATTACTGATCACCCAGGCATCTGAACCTCCTATTTTGAAACTGATTGCTCAACGGCAACCGTTAGAAACCGCTACAAAGCTGATTGCTTCGCCACTTTGCTATGTTGTTAGCTTGCTAGGTTTATTTTTATCAAGAACTATAATATACCTATATATTTGTTTTTTTTTTACCAGTAGAGTTTCAACAAAATCTTAAAAAAGGTTCAATGAATTAAAAAAATGCCAATAATTATATAATTTCAAGTCAGTGTTTTACATTTAAAGATCAGTTATAATGAGCCAAAGTTATTATTTTCATTTTGATTAATTTAATTCGAGACTAAAATAAATGTGAAAGGGCTTTTATCTGCAATAATAATTTTCATCAAAAATAACATAGACTTATAAAAGTCATATACACGGTCAATCATACTGAAGATTATCAATTGTACTACAAAATATTTAAAAGACTACTTCCAGTATAATGACCCGAATATCATCATTAATGTGTCAAACATTGGCACACATAAAAGTTTTATCACATGGCTAAGTGATTGACTTTTATATTATGATAAGGTAATGCTTTTATATAAAAAGTTGCAAGAAATTTTAAATCACGGACCTATTGGTTTGTTTTACTTTTTACTTAATTAGTGAAAAACAAGATGGACTGATCTAAAAGTTTACTTTCTTGTGTAAAAAGTGCTATTTAGAATTTTACGCAAATGATAATTAAAGTTTCTATGTAAATAAGTGTAACATAGCGGGTATTATATTCAATGGTAGCGGCCATCCATATTTGCAAAGCCAGCATAATTTTCTGTACAGAAACCGGCAAAGTGTTGCTCAAGGCACTATAAACAAAGCAGCTGATAAAATGTTACACTCATAACTGTTAACAAAAACTGTTTCCGCAAATGGTCTTATAGATTATAATAACTATACCGCCGTGTTAGGTGCAGAAGCTATTATTAGAAGGAGAAGAGGTAAAATTTTGTTTTAGAAGTGCGCAATCAATATTGTTTTGTCTGCAATTGAGCATAAAATAAAAAAATAACTTCAGCCAAAGAGCATAACTGGCAGAGCATACTCAGGCCCATCAATTGGTTTGGAAAAAAATAATTTTACCAGGTTTCAAAAAATCAATCAAAATTCAAAATAACATAAATATTAAAATCAAAAAATGTATATATGTATGTCTATACATACATATAATGATTTATGGCCGCTTAGTAACTGACGGTGACTCACTATAACATCCTACAGTCACGCCGAAACTAAGAGGAGAGAATCACTGGAGAAAAGGTAATAATTTATTGCGGAAATTTTGTGATAAAATTAAAAAAATTATAAACTTATCCAAATTAATCTAACTTAGTCTAACTTATCCTTATGCGTTACAAAAAAAAATAGTGAGATGGCGTCAGTTTTTAAGAAGATATAACAAAAATAAACAAAAAAATAAATTTCAAAAAAGTTCAGTATTTATTTGATTATATACCGCTGACACTTAATCAGGCTTTTCGAAACCACGCCAGTTGTAAACAATACTTGTGTGAAAAGACAAAATCTTCTTTTTCAAATTTCCACCGAGTTGTAAGTAGAAGGCCAAATAGGTCATGTGTCAATTTTAATTAAATATATTTTATATGAAGTGATCTTGACTACGTTTCATCAATTAACCATTGGTAAAAATTAAAACAGGAATTTTACAATTGTGTTTACAAAAACATTATTAGTTGAACCTTGCAGCTTATTTAT